AGAAGTGCAAAAACTAACGTGGTAATATTGAATGCAAATAGTTTTGTTTTTAAGAACATGGTCTGAAATAGTCTCCAGCTCTTTCTGAGGGCTGGATGTATGCTTTAACATGTGTCTTGCAGTATTACTTTAAAGGTAGTTTCTGGTGGGTTTGAAATGTTGCTATTGAGATTTGCTATTGAGTGGAAAATTAACTATTTTCTGTGTTAATTCTTTGCAGTGTTCGTATGTGCCTAATAGGTATGCTTTAATTTTTAGGGTGAAGAGCCTTATTTTTATCATAAATAATGCTTTTCCTCACTTGCTAATGTTACTTCAAGGGCACAGCGTGGAAGATGGAAAAATGTGCCAAGTAGATGAAAAGTGACTTCTACACATGAAAAAAAATTCTCCTGAAAAGACAGGGGTCCTAGCAGGTCTTTAGTGTATGCAAAAGGAGAGGGGGAGGATAGTCTATTTCAATGCTTTTCCATCTCTGCTGAGCTTTCAGTGAAGTATTTTTATAGAGAGTTACTGTAGATTCATTGCATTTAGATGCTATTTTGGACAAGCATTTGCAACTTGGCGAGCTGGGATGGGCTTGTGCCTTGTGTTCCTCTGCTGTGGTTGGTACAGAGATATGACTCGTAGTGTGTCTGGGGGGCAAAGGGTGGTGCTTTCTTTAGCTGCTGTGTTGGGATTTTTCTCCTTGATTCTGACAAGGTACTTTGGCTGGGTAAGATTTCAGATCAAGGTTAATTGTATTTCAAGAGACTAAAACTTACTATTGTTGAGAACTGCTTGCAAAGCCCCCCAGATTTATACAATGTTGAGGTGTCTTTTCAATACAGTTGTCATGCCTGTAAGAAGGGGCTTCTGGTGGCCTCCAGCTTGCCTGTTGGACCAGGCCTGTTGAGAACACTAGATCACATCAGCTGGGCCTTTCATGCACAAGCACAGGAGGAAGGTCTCTTCTTCTGGGAATTGGTAGGTTTCTTGCACTGTGCAAGAAGCCTCCCAAGGATGGAGATCCCTGCCTCTCTGGGTGCCTGTCCCAGAGGACACCACCCTCCTGGGGGAGAAGCTTTCCCTGCATTTGAGTTTCCAAAGGTGCAATCTGTGGCTGTTGTCCCTCGCTGCACTGTCTGACGTCGCAGGAGTTTGGCTCTGTCATGTCTGTAGCTTCCTTTCAAGCAGCCACAAGTTCCTGTTAGATGCTCCCCTGTCTGACCTCTCCCCTGCCCCCAACTCCTTTCCACCAGACTACCCAAGCCTGTCTCCTTCCCCTTAGGGGCACTGTGCTACAAGCCTCTAACCATTTTTTTCAGCCTCTTCTGGCCCCTCTCCTGTTTTCCCTCAACCCTCCTGAACTGGAAGGCCTAACACCGGACACAAATCCTGGTGAGGCCTCACCTAACCTGAACAAAGTGGGTAAAAATCACTCTTCTGGCTCTGCTAGCCGTGCCTTGTGTAGCCCGTTTGTCTTATCTGTGATGGGAACTTTTTTTACCTAATAGTCAGCCTGTTGTCTGCTGTAACCCCAAGCCCTTCTGAGCAGAGCTGCTGCCCAGCTTGACTCTCCCAGCCTGGCTGAATGTGTGGGGTTGTGTCACCCCACACCCAGTTCTGCTCATCTCCTCACTGAGCAGCATAAGGTGCTACCTCTCAGGCTTACTGAGGCCCCTTTGGGCAGAAGTTCTGTCATTCATTATGGTAGCCATCTCCCCTAGTTTAGTGTCACCCATGGTTATTTGTGCTCTTCACCCAAGGTGGAAGCAAGTTAAACATTCTTGGTATTATTTTAGATGTATAAACCATATGAGTGGAGTATTTCTGCCTTGATCTGTGTCTGACAGGACAACTATGTGAACACCTATGAGCTGACTCCAACCAGGATCTGTTTGCTGAGAGACGTTGCTCTGTGCTCAATGGTGAAGCCAAGCACTGAAAGGTGGGGAAGGCTGACTCCAAAGATGTAGCTAGTGCTGATGCTGGTTTCTCCTGCCATTGCTTCATTGCTTCCTGGCATCTTGATTGCTCCCAGATCAATTAGTTGATCTGGTTTTAGTCTAGTTTGCTTGCTTGTGCCTAATTTGGCACTGACTTTTACTGCTGTCACTTAATTGATGGTTATTACACTAAGGCAATACTTTTCTGGTCTGCCACCCTTGCCCACAACCAGGCAGGGGTTCTCTAATAGCAGGAGAAACCTTCCTCTTGGTTTTCTTTCAAGGCCTGGCCAACCTTGGGTGAAAACCAATTAGGAAGTTAGCACCAGGTGCCCTGCCTCTTAAGTTAATAGTATAAAAGCTGGCTCAGCTTGTAGTGGGTGTGTTTTCTGTTACTGGAATGTCTCCCTGACTGTCCATGGCAATCAGAGTTCCCAGCAATGGTGGGACAGGATTGAGAGCAGGACGGGGTGAGAGTGATGTGTGTGTGATAATGCTTTTCCTTGGCAATTACTACAGTGGCTTCTGTATGACTAGGATTGGGCTGTTGACTTGGTTTATTCCTTCCCCCATTACTGGATTTCTAGCTTGGCTTACTCCTTCCTTTGTTATATCATCTACCATGAGTGAGTATATTGACTTGTTTCTTCCTCCTGTTGTTAATCACAGCATAGCTTTCCTGTATTTGTTGGAATTAGATGGTAAAGTCTGGCCTGTATGTTTCCTGCTAATGGCCTTATCCTTCATACTGGGCCATGCAAGTTGGCAACAGATCCCCCCACCATTCCCTTTTGTGATTACCTTGGACCATCCACCCTTACTGCAGAATTGGCCTCTCTGATGGCTCTGCAAGGCAGCTTGGGGAACCTCCCAGGGGCCTGGCCAGCTATTTCCCTGTGCCCAGCAGCTATGAAACACTGCTCTGGCAATGAATGGACAGATGTCATGCACCAAGGGCAATGCTGGGTTTTAGTTAATGGCAAAGGATTGCAGCTTTGGATGAGTTGTGGCAGATACATCAACACAGCACTGAAGTCTCTTAATTGTGGGGACTAGCTCTATTGGTTTGATTGCTGTCTGAAAGATCAGCATGGTGCTCTCATCTTGCATGATCTTGCCATTCAGCACCTGAAAATGCAAAGCTGCTCCTCTTGTAGCATCTCCCCATCCCTCTGTTGCCATGGGTGTCTTTTTGGCCTAAGCAGGAGGAGTTCTTGGGGGCTTTAACTCCATTATACTGCTCTGCTCCATAGGGATGACTGGTGCAAGCACTTTGCAGGCTATGACCCTCCTGGTTTATGAACTTCCTCTGTCTTGCAGAAGACACCATTTCCAAGCTGTGAAGATACAGCTGACACAAATGCTTTTGAAAGAGGCAGGTATTTTACTACAGATGCTGTAACTTGACAAATGACTCACAACCAAAGACCATCCATGAATGGACAGGACTAATCTAATTCTTCTTACAATGCAGCTTGGATACTCAGAATGGAAGTCTTGGTTATTTACAAATTACATGGGAACTTCATGTACACGGGATATACAAAAAGACACAGGTACACACTGATTTAAAAGGAAAAGGCCCATTTGGGCATCCTGGGAGGAGAGGAGCACCACAGCCTTCCTTTAGGGTCAGGTGTGGAAGATACTGGATTGAAACATTGCAGATGATGCTGTAGGGAAAGGGG